TTTTTTTTTTTTAACTAGATATTTCATGAGACTCACGTGCTTACAATTTCAAAAAACTTTCGAACTTATTCTTCGTTTTGAAAATATGGGTCCCATAGGAATATAGGATGGCAGTGGAGGGCTCAGGGGTGGGTCTACGGTGGTCACGAGGTTTGTTACACTCCTCTTTGGTTTGAAATAAAATTTCGAGTTAAAGTCAATAATTAATTTTAATCACACATTTTATAACATCCAAAACTTTTCAATCGCACATTTATCAACTTCTATCAAAACCTATTAAAAATCTGATTTTAATCCCTACGAAACAAGACAAGGGTTATATAAATGGGGAAAGCTACGTGTACACAATGGTGTTCACACGGCTTTACACCCCCCTCACATGGAGAGGGCCCACACACAATAAAATATTTGTGAGCCTGCCTTCATGTGAGGGGGGTGTAAAATCGTGTGTACAAGAATGAATGTAAATACAAAAGTAGGGCAGAAACAAGGGAGGAAGGAATCAAACTGAAATTCCGAGTCAGACCAAAATTTCCCGTTGAGGGGACCATAAAAATAAAACACAATCAAAATTTTCCTCTATTTTTGGGGGAAAAAAGGGAAAGACAATGGTCAGAGATTTTCTTCCCTTCTCATGATCTCATCTTCTTTCTACAGATTCCTACAAACAAAAATAAGTATAAAATATATGTAAACAAAAAGAATTTGTTGTCAGAAAGATTTTTCAAAAAATAAATAATAATAAGAAAGTGATTTTGGGGTGACTTTTCAGAAAAATTTTCCGTGGGAAAAATTCTTGGCGGCTTCATATTTCTCGGCAAGCATATTCTTCCTATTTTTTCACCTTTTCAACTCAAAATAAAAAACCCTGATCAATTCTTGAATGCATTTTCTAATCTTCGTCAAAGGCATCTGATCGTCCATTTAATCTGCCCTTTAAGCATTTCCATCCCTTAATTTTCAGGTTCGTTCCATTTTCTTTTATTTTTGTCCGTAAATTGGTATATATTGCAGGTAAGTTTAGTTTATTTGTGCCTGAATAATGATTACATTGTATTCATGCTATTTCCCCTGTTTCAAGATTTTGATTTCTTAGCTCAAATTAATTTACTTTGGCTATGAATGAATGCCTGCCATTTTGGATTCTTGCAAGATTAAGTATTCACGCTAGTTTTTATGTATGTATCGATTGTATTTTGCTATTTTCAATTGGATTTTGAGGTTTTAACGTAATTCTTGTTATGGAAAACGTAGATTTTCCACACAAATTCCTTATTTTTATAATCTCAAGGTATTTCGAAATTTTCCTATTTTTCGAATCTCCTTCCTGAACACTTACTAAAAAAAATTTAACTTGAAGTTTCTGGATGTTGATCGCATTGATCTTTTCTCTGGGCAATTTGAATTGTCCTGTGACCACTTTTGATATTGTAATTTGAATGAGATGATTTATTGAATTTTTCATTGTGAGTTGTTTTTCATTTTATCTTCAGAACCATGTTTGGTGCATCTGAAATACACAACTTGTCATTGATTTATATGGAGATACTGAATATTACTTCATTCTTATAACTTATACAGGTATTCAAATATTCTCTGGATCGACCTAAATGATAGAGAGTGGAACTTGTTAGAAGTTTTTTTATTTGGGATAATAATTAGAGCAATTCGATATGGGGAACAATTGGTTGTTTTTCGATGAACCAGATGGTGGTTCTGGTGGGTTTTCAATGGATCCACTTGTGCCACATGTTTCTGGGGATTGGCTCTTACATGTATCTTCATTCGTAGAAAATTCAAGATATTTTTATGTCCCTGGCAGTTTGGCGCTTCAAGAAGCTTTCAATTGCGTATCAAAATTTGCAGGTGCCCTACTGTTATGGTTTGCTAGTGGTTCGAATTCCCATATCAACAACAAAATATCTGGTGATCATATTGGTTCTAGTTCAAGCTGTAAAGCTTCAAGACAAGTGAAGCACGTTTATTCTAATAAGTGTGATTTCTCGGGGATCTTCTGGAAGTCAGGATATAAAGGTATATCTGCTGTCCCAGTAGCATTTGGTAAGATATCAAGGTTCACTCTGAAGCAACTGATTAAAGAAGCTGAACGACTTCAATCACTTCCAGTGCTTTCATTAGCTTCTGCACTGGTACCACCGTTAACTAATTTGTAAGCTCAGTCCTATTCTTTGAAAAAAGATTTAGCAATCTTAATAAATTTTATCAAGCCTACTCCGAATAAGTTGATTTCCATACATATGTGGATGTTATTGCACCTGTTTCTTTTGATTTTCACATTGAGTTTTTATCTAAAAGATTCTTCTTTGTTCAATGTTCATTAGCTCTTCAAATGGACTAGCTATTCCACTGGAGACTGCTTCTTTAGAAACACAAAGATGCATGGATGATAGAAGGCCCTGCGAGGTTGAAACGGGCTGCGGACCGTGTGGTGAAATTTATCTCCAGAATTTAGATTGGTCTAGGAATGCAGTTGAGCCCAGAACTGGCATTCAGTTTCCTACTCTGTTGGACAACATAATAACTGGAGAAAATGCCAGTTTTACTCCAGAGGTAAGCACGTGAAGTATAAAAAAATTTATGGAACATTTTGACTTTTTCATTAATGTAAAATCCAACACTTTCCTGTCTCATTGAACTCTATGGTGTAGCATTCCAACACTGGGCACGTGCTTGATGATGTGCATCTATGCTCAATGATCTGTCATAGCTGAGGTGATGCCATGCATCACTTCTGACATGGTGTACCAATATTTCATGGAAGAACTTAAAATCTTTCTCACTGTATTTTTCTTGCTACCAGTATCCACATCTCTTTCAAGCAGAACTGTTAAACCATCGCCTTTATCATCTTTCATTTGTAACCTGAATTTGCCTCATTGTACGTCACACTTGTAGTGTATGAAAACAGAAAAATAGATACAAACCTCTGGATTAAGTATAATTGCTGACATTTCATGTAATTCATAATGGTCTTGTATAGTTGTACTTGTCTACTTTCTTCATTTTTTTCCTGTTGAAATTTTGCAAGATTCACCATTTTTATGTATTGTGAGATATGTCATATATTGATAAGTTGAATATGCCGCTCATTAAAATGACATTCAAGTTACTGTGCTTGAATTGTGCTTTCTTCATGGGTGGACTTACTTTCCTTTTTGAATAAATAAAGAAAAAGAAACTTTTATTGCTAACTAACTGATTTAGACTTTGTTATCAGGTAATTTTGATAAATCCTTATGTAACTCCGTGTATATCTTCACTTGCATCATCTTACGTTATGCTTCCTTTGCATTTAGCCAGGTTTCTCTTTTAGTGATGAATGTTTGTTGACAATTTTTGACTAACTTTTTAGGTCCTTGTCGGAACTGGATCGAGGACTATGACGATAATCAGAATCAAATCTCTGAAACTCTATGCATTTGGTTTTTGTGAGTTTTTTGCTGCACTTCATACCCTTGACATATTAAATTTACTTTCGAAATGCTCTTCAGATACTTAACTCATTTTTCATTTTTTATAGATGTTCATCCTTCCGACGTCTGTGAGAAATTGGGCCCTAAGTATGCCTGCATTCCGGAATATGAGTTGAATAAACGCCAAGATTTTTATCAGGATCTTCTAAGGTTTGTACAATATTGTGAATAATCATATGATTGATAAAGTTGATTGATCCATACATGTGATATTATGAGTCCATTCAGGGTCTGTTTGGTAATCAATATTGGATAGGACTTTAGTATTACCGGAGAACAAGAAGCTAAATTTTGTAAATTGTTATGTTTTCCATTCCTGTCTAATACTACATAACAAACATATAATTAATCTTTAGATAAACTCTGTGAAGCTTCCACATTATCTAGTGTATTGCAGGGACCTGAAGAAATTAAACTTTGTTGTGTTAAAAGAAGATCCTAGCATTTTTCATTTATTGTCTGAGTGCGTCACATCAACTCAAGTTTTGATGCTGTACATTATCTCCTCGTCATTAGCATCTCAGACTTTATTTGATGTTTGGGTGTATATTCTATATTTAGGATTCTTAGTTTGCCTCGAATATTTGATATTAATTTTACTGTATAATCTGGGATTAGAGTATGATGGATTCTTTGTGAATTGAATTGAATTTCAAATAAGATTTTTAATATTTCCTTGTGTAAATTTTGGTTCATGCTGCAGAGAGGATATTAACATGACTGTTAGGCTCGTGGTTAGTTGCAACGGAATCAAAATTAGTGCCGTGAGAGAGTAAGTTAAAATTCTTCTTGCAGAATGCTCATTGGAAATATTATCATAGTGTGAATAACAATTCATATCTGTAAATGTTTCATGGAGTAAATTTGCTACAACTTCATTCTTGCTTGTGCCTCCTTCCACTCACTCCACCACACACACAAGGAATGAACTATTGCAGTTTAGTTTGTTGGCATAATGTGCTGCTAGCCTGCTAAGTATATCTTTTTATGAAGTCTCAAGTCCCGAAGTATTCGGTTAAAATCCACCAAATTCTATAATTATTGAAGCAAGCAAGATGCAACATTTATTTAAAACACTAGTGAATTTTGACAATGAGTTACCAATGTTTCTGATTCAATTTGTGATTTGTCTCTGTTGCAGTGCTTTTGAGAAGTCTCTTCGAGCCCGATTAATTAGAGTGAGCCATTTCGAATTTTTCCTGATCCTTGAAGTATTCCAAAATTCTCGTTACTGACAATTTGTTCTTCTTTATAGACAAATCCTGATGCTGACCATCACTGCTTGCACACATTTGGTTCCATATTCTCGCAAGATATTCCCTTACACGTGGTATAAATCGTTTATCCTCACATTTTTCATATATATTTGTTTATGGTATTGCAAACTGCATTACTGACTTGAATAAAAAATCTTCAGGGAACGACGATCAATTTCCATCGTACAGCTGATGGAAAACTAATTACCGAAGGTAAGTGGTACACTAAAGGGAAAATAACTAAAATAGAAATGAGTGATCTTATATGTTTTTAAGGGAAAATAACTAAAATACATTGGAACTGATATATGCCTCTGACGAAGAACGTTTATTTGTGCAGTTGGAGGAAATCAACTTGGAGCCGTCCAGAGCAAGGATTTATGCAGTAAGTGAATTTATTTTTCTTGAACACCATTTGAAACCTTTCTAGACTCGTATCTTCAAGTAAGATATGGATCAACTTTTGAGGCATATCTTAACTAGAGAAGCAGAAAGAAAGGAATCGCACTACTAACTTAGTTTTGTATATATACCCAGGGGCTTTCTTTGACATGTACATTGGTGATGTTCCTGTGTGTGAGCAAACGAAAGAAGAGATAGGCAAAAATGTGGCGAGTATCATTGGGACATGCTAAGTCAATTCTCTCAAGGACGGTAGATAATTGGTTCATACTTGCAGTTCTGTGTCCGAATGTGATGCTTTGAGCTGGATGTTAGCCGTTATTCAATCTCTGAGACAACTAAATTAAATTGGTTGTGAGCGGAAAAATGAAAAACGGATGTACAAGTATACATGGAATCTTTTCATTTAGTGAGTTTGTTATACGTGATAGGAATCCTGATTTCGACATAATTCTTTCTAGCTTGGTCAGGAGATTCAGTCATTTACTATCTGAGGTTGTCGACTGTGTGTAGATTTTACTTTCGGTGATTTTGTTCATTTAAAAATGATTATGTTGGCAGTCTCTTTTTTTTTTTTTTTCAATGGAGTTGAAGTATCATTCCTTTCTTGGNAACTTGGAAAATGGATTGATTAGGCTCATTCTCTATAGAGCTTTGATTTCGAGTAGACGACTTTCTGAACTCTCGTGGAGTTTGCGGCGGTGGCAATAGGCCTGGGCCTGCCAGCTCAGCAAGTCGCTCTGGTGACCTCAACCAATGGATTGATGAACTCATGCCACCGTGAACTCATATATTAATACCAAGTTCAAGTTTTACTGTCATCTACTTATAATATTGAAATTGTTCAATGTGAACGAGGGGCTTGTTAGATAACATGTTTTCCACCTTAGGCTGACTACATTTCACCATTAACAGATGAAAAAGAGAATAGGTGCTCACGACAAAAAGAGACTTTTTTCAAAAACCACCAATCTATAAAGATCTCAGATTCTAAAAAGAAACAGAAGAAGTTGCTTGACCTTCACCATGTGACCCGCAAGCCTAGAATGAAGAAGAGAAACTATTGAAATATGCTATATTTACTGCAGAAAATTAGAAGTAGAAGGTGTCAAATTAGTTGAAACTGCTGGAGATTTTTCACGAATAACAGAAACCAAAAAAGAAACCTGCTATATATTTGAATTTTTGTTGGATATGTTTAGAGATTTTCTGTTGAAGTTTGTTACAATTTCTTGTATAAATACATTCATAAGTTAATAAAGAAATGATCAGTTACATTTCTTATTCATTTTCTGTCAAATAATCTATAAATTGGTATCAGAGCATAACTTCTTAAGGGACCTGTGAGGAGCGAATCAAATATGGTTGGAAACAATTACTTGGCAACATCTCCAGTTTTCACAGGAGGAAACTATCACATTTGGGCTGTGAAAATGGAGGCATTTTTGCAAGCAAATAATTTTTGGGATTTGGTGGAGACAGAAGAGTTACCGGCACCTGAGGATCCAACTGTTGCACAAATTAGAAACCAGAGATGAGAGGACAAGGAGGTACAAAGCCATGACATGCATTCCCTCAGCAGTGTTAGATTCAATTTTTACAAAGATCGTTGCCTTTGAAACAGCCAAAAGGCGTGTGATCTTCTTAGAGAAGAATATCAAGGAAACACTAGAACAAAGAAAATGCAAATTCTAAATATAAGGGAGTTCGAGATGCAGAAAATGAAAGAAACCGAAGGGATCAAGGACTACACTGATAGATTGATGGTGGTAGTCAATAAAACCAGGTTGCTAGGGGAAGAGCTTCCTGACAGAAGGGTTGTGGAGAAAATCTTGGTAACTGTTCCGGAATGTTTTGAGGCCAAAATTTCATCACTTGAAGAGTCCAGGATCTGTCAACAATCACCTTGGGAGAATTGATTAATGCGATGCAAGCTCAGGAGCAAAGAATAGCTTACAGTCAGGAGGAGACAGTAGAAGGAGCTTTTCACGTGAAAGAAACTGATCAGAAACAAGAAGAAAATAAGGGTAAAAGACAACGGAATAGAAATCAGAAGAGAGAAGGTGGAAACAACGGAGGCAACTGAGGTAGATATCCACCATGTCCGCACTGCAAAAAAACCTCACATCAACAAAAGTATCGATGGTTTAGACCAGAAATTCAGTGCAGATCATGCAAGAAGATGGGGCACATGGAAAAAGTCTGTAAAAATAAGCAAATGGAGGGACAAACAACTCAGGCACAAATGATACATCAACGACAGGAAGAGCAGCTATTTGTGCCACCTACATTACTGGATACAGTACCAGTGATGTTGGGCTTATTGATGGTGGATGCACCAACCACATGACAAATGATGCATCCATTTTTCAAGAATTGCACAAGTCATCAGATTCAAAGGTCAGGATAGGCAATGGCCAGCTGATTGAGGTAAAAGGAAAATGAATTGTTGCAACATTACAGCTCTCACTTGCCAGTCTCTCTCTATATCTATCTATCTATATACGTATATATAAATGATGCATGCATAAGTTATAAGTATTAACTGTATAAGCTACACGCCATTACAAGTCATTCTTGTGCAGGGAGGGGAAGAGCTAAAGAGGGCAATCCTTTCTGATGCAAGCCTGCAACATTACAACTCTCACTTGCCGCAGGGTAGGGATGGCAAAAAAACCTGACAA